CACGTGGTACACATGCATCCACCAGAGCTGTGTGCGTCACTCTTTAGTGTCCCCTGGTCTCCCAGCTGTGTGCGTCACTCTTTAGTGTCCCCTGGTCTCCCAGCTGTGTGCGTCACTCTTTAGTGTCCCCTGGTCTCCCAGCTGTGTGCGTCACTCTTTAGTGTCCCCTGGTCTCCCTGCTGGTGCGTCACTCTTTAGTGTCCCCTGGTCTCCCAGCTGTGTGCGTCACTCTTTAGTGTCCCCTGGTCTCCCAGCTGTGTGCGTCACTCTTTAGTGTCCCCTGGTCTCCCAGCTGTGTGCGTCACTCTTTAGTGTCCCCTGGTCTCCCAGCTGTGTGAGTCACTCTTTAGTGTCCCCTGGTCTCCCTGCTGTGTGCGTCACTCTTTAGTGTCCCCTGGTCTCCAGCTGTGTGCATCACTCTTTAGTGTCCCCTGGTCTCCCAGCTGTGTGCGTCACTCTTTAGTGTCCCCTGGTCTCCCAGCTGTGTGCGTCACTCTTTAGTGTCCCCTGGTCTCCCTGCTGTGTGCGTCACTCTTTAGTGTCCCCTGGTCTCCCAGCTGTGTGCGTCACTCTTTAGTGTCCCCTGGTCTCCCTGCTGTGTGCGTCACTCTTTAGTGTCCCCTGGTCTCCCAGCTGTGTGCGTCACTCTTTAGTGTCCCCTGGTCTCCCAACTGTGTGCATCACTCTTTAGTGTCCCCTGGTCTCCAGCTGTGTGCGTCACTCTTTAGTGTCCCCTGGTCTCCAGCTGTGTGCGTCACTCTTTAGTGTCCCCTGGTCTCCAGCTGTGTGAGTCACTCTTTAGTGTCCCCCTGGTCTCCCAGCTGTGTGCGTCACTCTTTAGTGTCCCCTGGTCTCCAGCTGTGTGCGTCACTCTTTAGTGTCCCCTGGTCTCCCAGCTGTGTGCGTCACTCTTTAGTGTCCCCTGGTCTCCAGCTGTGTGAGTCACTCTTTAGTGTCCCCTGGTCTCCCAGCTGTGTGCGTCACTCTTTAGTGTCCCCTGGTCTCCCAGCTGTGTGCGTCACTCTTTAGTGTCCCCTGGTCTCCCAGCTGTGTGCGTCACTCTTTAGTGTCCCCTGGTCTCCCAGCTGTGTGCGTCACTCTTTAGTGTCCCCTGGTCTCCCAGCTGTGTGCGTCACTCTTTAGTGTCCCCTGGTCTCCAGCTGTGTGCGTCACTCTTTAGTGTCCCCTGGTCTCCCAGCTGTGTGCGTCACTCTTTAGTGTCCCCCTGGTCTCCAGCTGTGTGCGTCACTCTTTAGTGTCCCCTGGTCTCCCAGCTGTGTGCGTCACTCTTTAGTGTCCCCTGGTCTCCCAGCTGTGTGCGTCACTCTTTAGTGTCCCCTGGTCTCCCAGCTGTGTGCGTCACTCTTTAGTGTCCCCTGGTCTCCAGCTGTGTGCGTCACTCTTTAGTGTCCCCTGGTCTCCCAGCTGTGTGCGTCACTCTTTAGTGTCCCCTGGTCTCCCAGCTGTGTGCGTCACTCTTTAGTGTCCCCTGGTCTCCAGCTGTGTGCGTCACTCTTTAGTGTCCCCTGGTCTCCCAGCTGTGTGCGTCACTCTTTAGTGTCCCCTGGTCTCCCAGCTGTGTGCGTCACTCTTTAGTGTCCCCTGGTCTCCCAGCTGTGTGCGTCACTCTTTAGTGTCCCTGGTCTCCCAGCTGTGTGCGTCACTCTTTAGTGTCCCCTGGTCTCCCAGCTGTGTGCGTCACTCTTTAGTGTCCCCTGGTCTCCAGCTGTGTGCGTCACTCTTTAGTGTCCCCTGGTCTCCAGCTGGGTTTCTAGATCTCTTCATGAGATGCTGCTTTCACCTGGAGGTAAAGGTCACAAACAAACAACACTTCCTCTTCAGATGTGATAAAACCTTTCCTGTGTAAAGTTTAGTGAGGAGGAGGAGGAGGAGGAGGAGGAGGAGGAGGAGGAGGAGGAGGAGGAGGAGGAGGAGGAGGAGGAGGAGGAGGAGGAAACACACAGCTGGAGGGGACACACCGCCGTGCACTCTGAGCCGCATTCTGTTGAGTCCAGAGAGAAACAGAGAAATAGTAAACGTACAGATTTTAGCACACATGAACTTTTAAGGACACAATAACTTTGAAAATATGATTTAAAACCTAGAAAGCAACAAATATCCAGATTTGTGGGACATTTTCTGACATGTTTGCTTTAAAGATTTCTCTACTGAGTATTTGATTATCCAAATGAATTGACTGATGCAGCTCTGAGCGTTAGCCTGCCTGCTGAGATGATCTTTACACACAGCTTTAGTCCATCACTGTCAACAACAACAACAACAACAACAACAACAAAGCAGTCCATGAATTACCTCGCATTACAGCGTTGATATTATGTAAAAAGTAGGCACACGTTATCAATAATACAAATGCAATAAAGTAACAAATAAACTCCTGTGATAATGGTTTAGTCGAGCAAGTTTTCATCTGATGTTCTTCTTTAGGCTCTGCTTCTCTCACCGGCTCTCTGAGCTGCATTCACACACACACACGCACGCACGCACGCACATACCATGTATACATCACTTCAGGGGACATTACATTGACTTACATGCATTTCCTGTGTGTGTGTGTGTGTGTGATTATCTCTTGTTACAACACACACCAAGGACGAGCTGTTGTTGCTGCTAACACTCAGAGTATTTGTCAAAGCTCACAGAGCGAGTGTTCGTCCTCCATGCGTCCTTCAAACTGATAAAGACTTCTTTAATCTGCTGAAAGAGGAACAGTTTGGACACAGCTGCTTGTTTGGTGAACTTTGGACAGATTTATATTCACCTGCTTTTATATAAGCACGCTATTGTTCCCATAACATGGGAACTCCCGTGAGTATGCCCATAACATGGGAACTACAGGAGTAAGACGGACATACTGTAACCCTTTATTCATGCTGGTGGACATGTTGGTACATTTTCAAGATGTTTTCTTTGTTTTTCTCAAAAGGATGTTTACTAAAAACTTTCACAACAACCAATAAACCACAAACATGTATGTGTCATAAATCCCAACTTAATGGGAAGCGAATGTCGGGTAAAGATTAAGATGGACTTTTATTAATCCCTCGTGGGGAAATTTTTTCTCTGCATTTGACCCATCCTAGTGTTAGGAGCAGTGTGCTGCCATTTTGAACGGCCCCCGGGGAGCAGTGTAGGGAACGGTGCCTTGCTCAGGGACACCTCGGTAGCACTTGGTCTTGCCGGGACTTGAACTGGTGACCTTCCAGTTGCCAAGCCAAGTCCCTATGGACTTCGCCACCACTTATAATAAAGTGGTTCCATTTGGTTCCTTATTCTTAAGCACATGTTCTGTGGTTATGGGGTGATATCAGTGGTCCATGAATACAGCCAGTAAACCAAAGTATTTCAATGGTGAGCATTCTCTAAAGCAGGGGTTCCCAACCCCCGGTCCTTGGCACAATAAAGGTTGGGAACCCCTGATCTAAAGCATCTGTATGCAAACTTTTCATTAAAAAGTGGTATAAATGTTATTTAAATCTTATTGATAATGGCTTGCACTCGTATAACCCTGTTACTAAGATTATGTATTTTTGGATCTATTCTTTTTATGAATCCCCAGAGCCTGTGATGATTATAGAACAAGGAGCCGATCAGTCCCCGAAACATCAGATTAGTGAAGGAAGGAAATCAGTTTGAGGAGAGGAAAGGTCACTTAGAAAACAATAAGAAAAAGTGTGTGTGTGTGTGTGTGTGTGAGACAACTGTAGTTCAGCTCAGTGTTGATTGACGGCTCGTGCCTCGACGGAGGCCTTTGAGGGAAATGGGAGAACATGTTCTCACTTCCTCTCTAAACACACACCTACACACACACACGCACGCCTACACACACACATATACATACACACACGCCTCCAGTCAAACTCTTTTCCTGCAGTTGTCTCCTTTGTGTCGTTCTCGAGTCTCTCACGTGTGTGTGTGTGTGTGTGTGTGTGTGTGTGTGTGTGTGTGTGTGTGTGTGTGTGTGTGTGTGTGTGTGTGTGTGTGTGTTGTGTGTGTGTGTGTGTGTGTGTGTGTGTGTGTGTGTGGTGTGGTGTGTGTGTGTGTGTGTGTGTAGTGTGTGGTGTGTGTTGTGTGTGTGTGTGTGTGTGTGTGTGTGTGTGTGTGTTGGTGTGTGTGTGTGTGTGTGTGTGTGTGTGTGTGTGTGTGTGTGTGTGTGTGTGTGTGTGTGTGTGTGTGTGTGTGTGTGTGTGTGTGTGTGGTGTGTGTGTGTGTGTGTGTGTGTGTGTGTCCGACTGTGACCTTAAACGCTGAGTTCAGGTTTACCGTAAATATGAGGATTTTATCTTGTGTGGACCCTGAGCTGTTTCATTCATGACGTTCCTGATGCTAACATGCTAATAATGCTACTGATGCTAACATGCTACTGATGCTAACATGCTAATAATGCTACTGATGCTAATCTAGATATTCTGGTTCTTCAACCTCCTAAATGTCAGCTTCATGAGGAACATTTCTGCATTAATATATACAGTGTTCGAATGACCCATTTGCTTTCAGGGAGACCTATTTTTATTTTCAGGGCCCTCGGTGTGGAGCTGTAAACTCGACCCTGACGCCGCTCACAGCCGGCCCACTAAAAGTTGTTCCGTTCACGTTGTCATTTTTAGACTCCTTTGCTTCTTTGCTTGTGAATCCAAAAGCTGCGAGGCTTGGCTGTTTTCGTTTCGCCATATTTTTTATTACAAAGCCAGAGTTAAAAAAATATCAATAGGCCTATGAACATTTCAAATACCGTGCCGGCATCACCACCGTAACCATAGCAACGTAAGTAGCGTAAAGAATGCAGCCCCGCCACGTGCAGATGGCAACGCCCAGAAATATTCACAAATATTCAGAAACTGAACAATGACAATCATTTATTTCAAGAACTTTTATTTACAGAAACTCAACATTTCTCATCTGTGTGCAGATAAGTATTATCATTTTAAAAACATTTTGAATTATTATTAAAACATGTTTTACTCTATTTTGTCCCCCTGCAGGTTGACCCTCTCTGATGGCCCCCCGATCACCCCCCCCGTGCAGTGGGCTCATCTGACTCCTCCCCCTCCGCTGACCCCTCCCCCTCCACTGACCCCTCCTCTGACTCCTCCCCTCCGCTTCTTTACTTCCTGCCCCCCTCCCTTGCAGTAACCATGGATACGGATACGGACGACACGCCCGGCTGTTACTACAACCAAAGCGTGAGGTTCTTCTACGAGGCGAGCGGGAAGAACATCAGCACCCACTGGCGTGACCGTGACTACGTGATCGTGACGCTCGGCATGGCGGTGTGTTTCATCGTCATCTTCTCCAACCTGCTGGTGATGGCGGCCATCTTTAAGAACCGCCACTTCCACTTCCCCATCTACTACCTGCTGGGGAACCTGGCCGTGGCCGACCTGTTCTCAGGTGCCTTCACTGTTCACTTCATTTGATATTCTTTTGTATCATTTCATTTTGGTATTATTATTTTTTCACTTTATTTGATTTTTGCATTATTTGATCATATTTTATTTATTTATTTTTTCTGTTTAAAATAATGTTTTTGTGTCTCTGCGTGCACTTTGAGTTAATAAGCCTGACTCTCTATGACACACACTCAGGCCCAATCCCAAACCACGCCCTACACCCTACCCCTTCACACCCCCCCTCCGTGACGGAGTGACACTCGCAGCTCAACGAGGCTCCTCCTGTCAGATGGAGGGAGTAAATACAGCAGCAAGCTTTGGGACATTTACCTTTTTCTAGACTAAACACAGGTTTGATCCTAAGTTAAAAACATATGAGGTCATCATGAGGTTGTTAACATGCAGTTCATCAGTGGCTGTTTGCTGGAACTACTTGTAAACAGCTTGTTTCCTGACAGACACACACAGCGTGACTCCGGTCAGGTAGAGACCGGTCTCAAGTCAGCACCGATGCAGACTCGCAAACGGAGGGGTAGGGTGTAGGGCGTGGTTTGGGATTGGGCCTCACACACACACACACACACACACACACGCATGTGCACACACACACACACATACATACACACACACACACACACACACACACACACACACACATGTACGCACAGGGTTTGTTTGTTTGCTTGTGGAGACGCCGCATGTTCACAGAAACACTGGAGGAGATAAATCCTTCTTCTCTCCGTGGATCGGACTCTCTTTAATATTTCCATACGATATTCTATCTAACTGAACGTTTACATTTTGTTCTCTGAATAGTTTAATCGTGAGGAAACAAACGGATATTAACGTCTCTGCAGGATTCATGTTGTTCTGAGTTTTTATAGGATAAGACATGTTTCCTGCATCACAGCAGCACCATGTGCATTATCAACAAGGACACATATTAGGAGAGGAGACAAGGAGACAGACATTTAACACACCATCACGACCACTAATGCGTCATGATCCAGACCCTCTAACGTAGATCAGATCTGGGATCTTATTTTATTTGTATTTATTTCTCATTTAATTGTATTTCTCTTTCTCTTTTTGTTATGATATTATTCATCATAAATCACAGTACGCTCTTCGGTGCTAATCTAAGGTGCTTGCCTCCCCCAGGAGTGTCGTACCTGCACATGATGTTCCACACCGGCCCGTGGACCATCAGGCTGTCTAAGTACGGCTGGTTCCTCCGGCAGAGCCTCATCGACACCAGCCTCACCGCCTCCGTGCTCAACCTGCTGGCCGTGGCCGTGGAGCGCCACCAGACCATCTTCAACATGCAGCTGCACAGCAAGATGAGCACCAGGCGCGTCTTCGTCATCATCGTCTTCATCTGGCTGCTGGCCATCGTCTTGGGGCTGGTGCCCACGATGGGATGGCACTGCCTGTGTGACCTGAAAAACTGCTCCACCATGGCGCCCATGTACAGCCGCAGCTACCTGGTGTTCTGGGCTGTGCTGAACCTCTTCACCTTCTCCGTCATGCTGGCCGTCTACACACGCATCTTCGTCTACGTGAGACACAAGAGCCAGCAGATGAGCCAGCACACGAGCCAGATGAGGCACCGAGAGACCGTGTTCAACCTCATGAAGACCGTCTCCATGATCCTGGGTGAGTGAGGGACACAGAGAGACACACACACACACACACACACACACACACACACACACACACACACACACAACACACACACACACTCTGAGGAGGAGCTGTTTTGTGTTACGCTCTTCAGGCATGCAGTGCCTGTCAGGACACGCTCAGGGTTTTCTTGCCCTCACGTGCCTGAGAAACATTTTACAACCTTCAGGAATTGAATCCAAAGTTCAGACAACGAGAGGTGGGGGGGGGGCAGGAAACCATCACAGGGAGGTGTGTGTGTGTGTGTGTCCTTCACACTGAGGACACACATTACTTTTTGAACTTTGTTTTTAAGAGAAACTACAAGAGATAAGAAAAATAATAAGTGTGTTAATGTGAGTAATGCAGTGGGGGGGTTCATGGTTATATATGTTAGGTGTGTGTGTGTGTGTTGTGACAGTGTTTGAGGAATGTGTTGCACATGGTGTGTGTGTGAGTGTGTTTCCTCATAGTCTCCACATTTCCTGAACATGTGTCAGAGCGGAGTGTGTGTGCACATAATGAATTCCTGAGCTGCCTAATCGAGTGTTATGGTAATGAAATCTGATCACTCTCTGTTCTGTGTGTGTGTGTGTGTGTGTGTTTATTGTCTGCAGAGGAATTTACAGTATGTCCTCCAGTCCATCACATTCTTTATACTCTGTCTGCAGATGGTTAATTTGCCAAAAGTTGCACCTTTTTGCATGAAATGTATCATCAGATGTTCCTGCATGTTGTGATCATTGGACCTTCACAATAACTGTATTATCAATACGTGTTCAATGCTTTGGTCTTTACTAGGAAAACAAGTCTAAACTAAAACAACATGTACCGCATCTAATCACATCCTACCTCACCGTACCGCATCTAATCACATCCTACCTCACTGTACCGCATCTAATCACATCCTACCTCACCGTACCGCATCTAATCACATCCTACCTCACCGTACCGCATCTAATCACATCCTACCTCACCGTACCGTATCTAATCACATCCTACCTCACCGTACCGCATCTAATCACATCCTACCTCACCGTACCGCATCTAATCACATCCTACCTCACCGTACCGTATCTAATCACATCCTACCTCACCGTACCGCATCTAATCACATCCTACCTCACCGTACCGTATCTAATCACATCCTACCTCACCGTACCGTATCTAATCACATCCTACCTCACCGTACCGCATCTAATCACATCCTACCTCACTGTACTGTATCTAATCACATCCTACCTCACCGTACCGTATCTAATCACATCCTACCTCACTGTACCGCATCTAATCACATCCTACCTCACCGTACCGCATCTAATCACATCCTACCTCACCGTACCGCATCTAATCACATCCTACCTCACCGTACCGCATCTAATCACATCCACCCTCACCGTACCGTATCTAATCACATCCTACCTCACCGTACCGTATCTAATCACATCCTACCTCACCGTACCGCATCTAATCACATCCTACCTCACCGTACCGTATCTAATCACATCCTACCTCACCGTACCGTATCTAATCACATCCTACCTCACCGTACCGTATCTAATCACATCCTACCTCACCGTACCGTATCTAATCACATCCTACCTCACCGTACCGCATCTAATCACATCCTACCTCACCGTACCGTATCTAATCACATCCTACCTCACCGTACCGTATCTAATCACATCCTACCTCACCGTACCGTATCTAATCACATCCTACCTCACCGTACCGCATCTAATCACATCCTACCTCACCGTACCGTTATCTAATCACATCTACCTCACCGTACCGTATCTAATCACATCCTACCTCACCGTACCGCATCTAATCACATCCTACCTCACCGTACCGTATCTAATCACATCCTACCTCACCGTACCGTATCTAATCA